AAGTATACAAGAAACTCATAAACGCTACAATGTTGTACCTTGTACCTCTGTGAGAATCGCCCATTGTGAGAAGAACCATTGTTGAAATTGTCTGAGATTATGAAAGAGTTTGTAGCAGAGAGTGAGATGATTGTGGATGCAATAGAAGTATGTGAGGCTCTGTATTTATAGGCAAAATTTTATCACAGAGTAAGTGATGTGGTTGGTGGGTGCATGCATGCATGATAAGTGTCACTCTTGCAGTGTAGGTGCAGGCTAGGTGGCAGCCTTGGGGAAGGCATCTCTACATGCATGTAATACGATTAGACGTGTAGGGAGGCGCCATTGGACTTGGCGAATGAGTACAAAAATGAAAGGTGTCGCCATCCCTGTTGGCGAATTAGAGGTAGCATGGGTTACAATGTAGGTGCAGGCTAGGTGGCAGCCTTGGGGAAGGCATCTATGCATGCATGTAATACGATTGGACGTGTAGGGAGGCGCCATTGGACTTGGAGAATGAGTATAAAAATGAAAGGTGTCGCCATCCCTGTTGACGAATTAGAGGTGGCATGGGTTGTAGTGTAGGTGCAACCTAGGTGACAGCCTTGGGGAAGGCATCTCTGCATGCATGTAATATGATTGGACGTGTAGGGAGGCGCCATTAGACTTGGCGAATGAGTACAAAAATGAAAGGTGTCGCCATTCCTGTTGGCAAATTAGAGGTGACATGGGTTGCAGTGTAGGTGTAGGCTAGGTGACAGCCTTGGGGAAGGCATCTCTGCATGTATGTAATACAATTGGACATGTGGGGAGACGCCATTGGACTTGGCGAATGAGTACAAAAATGAAAGGTGTCGTCATCCCTGTTGGCGAATTAGAGGTGGCATAGGTTGCAGTGTAGGTGAAAACTAGGTGACAGCCTTGGGGAAGGCATCTCTGCATGCATGTAATACGATTGGACGTCCCAGTTGGCGAATTAGAGGTTGCTTACTGTTGTTTTATTCAAATTCAGTACAACCTATTTAATCCTACATTTATCAAAACACTTCTATATTCAACCACTCAAACATTCTAACATTCAAAAACTCAAACAATCAAACACTTAAACCTTCAAACATTCAAACCTTCAAACAGTCAAACACAATGGCCTCTGCACCACAATATGTGATCAGTGCACATTTCAACAGTGAGACATACATTTGTCTCACCTCTGGGTTTTTTTTTAGAGACATTGAGAACATCCTATTTTGTTTAAACAGGAAAGCCAATTTCTTGTATTTCAAAAAAGATTGGAGATCAAACTTGGACGAGGTCCCGTGACACAAATCTTTTATCAAAATCTGGTTTATTTTGGTAACAACCAAATAATATTTTATAAGGTTGAAGTTCAAGATGACGAGGACCTTCAGAATATGTTTTCCAGTCATGAGTATTCTGGATACGACTCTATTGAGTTATACATTATACTGCCAGAGCCTCAGCTGTCACAAGTGGTTGATCCTCTCGAGACCGAACAAGCAGAAGTAGATGTCGTTGACGAAGAAGAAGAAGATGACGAGTTAGAGTTTGACGACATGGTCAACGATGATTACGAAGACGATGGGATACCTGGTATACCTTCAAACGGGATCTACACACCACCTCCACACATGACAAACTTCAACATGGACGGAGATGAACCATCGTCTGATTTATTTTTCAATCTGTATATGCAGTCGGATGAAAACTTAAAAGAGAAAGACAAATTTCGTAATAGAGAAGAATGTATCTGAGCCATAAAAAAGTTTCACATGCTCAACTCGGTCGATTTTAAGGTAGATCGTGTAAATCCAGAAAGGTACAAGATCAAGTGTATCCACCCAGATTGTATGTTCAAGATCACTGCATCATACAGATTAAGAGGTGATTGTTGGGTCATAGGTTCTATGTCCACCCACACGTGTGTAAATTCTACTCAATCACAGGATCATCGAAAACTAAATTATGACCTCATATGTCAAGAAATCCTACCCCTCGTCAGCAACGATCCATCATTGAAGGTGAAAACCATAATCTCTCACATCACTACGGTATTTAACTATATTTTGTCATACCGAAAGGCGTGGTTAGCAAAGACCAAGGCGATTGAAAAGGTATATGGAAACTGGGAGGAGTCATACAAAGAACTTCCTCGCTACCTGAATGCACTTTAGACTTATTCTCTGGGTACTGTTTACATTATGGAAACACTGCCGGCGTACGCCCCAGATGATAGTCAAATCACTGGAAATGGAATATTCAATCGAGTGTTATGGTTTTCAATCTTGCATCACAGGGTTTGCGTTATACAAACCAATTATTCAAATTGATGGGACTTGGTTGTATGGGAAATACAAAGGCACGCTATTAATGGCAGTTACACAAGATGGCAACAACAACATTTTCCCAATTGCCTTTTCCCTAATCGAGGGAGAGACTGGTGGTGCTTGGAGCTTCTTTCTCAAGAATCTCCGAACACACGTGGCTCCTCAACCAGATCTCTGTTTGATCTCGGATAGACATGCATCTATTGAGAGTGCATACAATAATCCTGTAAACGGTTGGCATGACCCTCCTTCTACGCATGTCTATTGCATTAGACATATCGTCTAAAATTTTACGAGGGAGATCAAAGACAAAGCTCTTAGGAAAACGGTTATGAATGCGGGGTATGCATTGATACAACCTACGTTCAAATATTATCGTAACGAGATCCGATTGTCAAATTCGTATGCCGGTAGGTGGATCGATAACATTTCGGTTGAGAAATGGACTAGGTCATACGGCAATGGACAACGATGGGGCCACATGACAACAAATCTGATTGAATCCATGAACGTGGTATTCAAAGGCATACGAAACCTCCCAGTAACTGCTTTGGTTAAATCAATATATTTTATGATGGCTTTGTTGTTTTCCAAAATAGGTGAAATGTGAAATGTTGTGTTGTAATCTAGACAACTGTGAAGTGAAAGCTGCATGAAGTATATTAAGGCAAAAAGTGCCAAAGTCAACACCCATCTGATTATACGGTTCGACTGACACATCCATAACTTTATTGTCAAAGAGACAATCAACCACAAAGAGGGGCTGCCAAGACAAGAGTATAGGGTTATACTACCTTCTCGTTGGTGCAATTGTGGCAAGTTTCAAGCCTTTCGTATGCCTTGCTCTCATGTCATTGTTGCGTGTGCCTATACTCATCAAGACGCATTACAACTTTTGTCTCCCATTTACAAGTCTGAAACATTACTCAACGTATACAACAACAGCTTCTCTTTGGTAGCAAAACCTGATTATTGGCCTGCATACGACGGTGAAATAGTATGGCACAATGACCAAATGTGAAAGAATAAAAAGGGTCATCCCAAAAGTAAGAACATCACAACTGAAATGGACTCCCTTGACAAGTTGGAAAGAAAGTATGGTTTATGTCGTCAGGTCGGACACAATCGCAAAATTGTCCGACTCGGACTATTATCTCAACCACATTACGGTTTTTCATTAAGAGCATTTGTTACAACAAACCTTGCGCGAACAACAAATAAAACACGATAAATCGTCTACGAAATTATAACTGTTAAAACAATTTCATTTGACCCATGCATCATCAATATTACATCGTTGTCTGTTTTGACTTCCTCCAATCAAAAATTAGGTCTTCCTGTCGCAAGTGAGGTGGTTGTTCTTCTTCGCTGGATCCTTCTAATTTATTCTTCATCCTCGATGTCTCCCTCTAGCCATCGCATCAACTCTCTCTTCAGACGCTCCATGGAGTGAATGTGCCAGAATTTCATTTTCATTGGAGGTTTAGTGGCCGAGAAAATAACGTAATCATCTCTGGTAAAAATCATGGGCGATGTCATGACGCAAATAACAGAGAAAAAATAAGAAGACAGTGCGAGAAAGTGTGAAGAATGACGGAGAAACGGGGGAATTGTTTATAAAAAATGCATTTTGCCCTAAGAGCCAAGTGAGATGGCGCCTCCCTTCACTTTTAGAGTGCATGTGCCATCTCACTTGGCTAAAATAGAGTGCATGCGCCAAGTGAGATGGCGCCTAGGGCAAATGGGTCAATGTGTGCGCCATCTCAATTGGCTCCTCCCTTGTGGGGTTTTCTGAAACATGGTTATTTGCGTAATTTTCTCCGAAACATGATTATTTGCGATTTTTTTTAATACCTGATTATTACAAAAAAAAAATCATGTTATTACTTGATATTTTAAAAACTAAATGATTGCATAAATATAATTATAACTAATGTCAAAAAAAAAATTAATATTTACATACGGGAAAATATAGAGTCAAATATTTGTATATATGGAAAGACTATATTTATGCTTCAAATAAAAATAAAAATATGTTTTTCTTTTAAATATAATAAAATTTCTTGATTAAATAATTTTGAATTTCTATTTTAATTCTTATTATATTTTAGAAACAAAAGTGTGTAACACTCTCATACCTGTGCGAACGCACGGATATTCATATTAAAATTCATATAAACACACAAGTTATTATATTTTTTTTAAAATTAAAGAAAACAAAAGTAAATATATTTAAAAAATATATGAATCTAAATACGGGAAAATGTATTATTTTTTTAAGAGAATAATTCTTATACACTATCGGTGTAAATTTTTTTACACAATCAACCAATAGAAAATTAACAATTTGTCATGTCATTAAAAAAATTAAAATAAAAGTGAAATATAATTGCTTACATGACTGTGATTAGTTGAAAGTATAAAATTATTTTACACTGTTTGTACATGAGTTAATTATAATAATGAGATAAGTTCACTCATGCTTAATTATAATATCATAATTTTAAACTTTGTATTCTATTTATTTATAGTTTTACACTGTAACACGCATGTCTCAAGTGTCCTAAACATACTTTTTCAGTAGAATATGGAATCCTTAAAGACATTCTTTGATCAAGTCAAAGTTTTTTTGATTTTGAATCAATGAAGGTATGCATCATAAACTGTTCAACTTCTTTATTCTTCAACATTGTAGCCCATGTCACCTGTTTCGTTTGAACAAAACCCAATCCAAAATATCTGTAATTTCAACATACAATTATTGTAGTTAGTAATATTATTAGGAGTAGATTTTGAATAAAAAGAATTAAATGTATTCTATAATTTAAAACGAGACTTTATTGCTTGACAAAGTTCTATACTTAGTGACAGATATTTACAAGAAATTATGAACATGTATTCACATAAGTGCATTTTCAATATTCCCCTAATTATTTCAGCCAACAGACTTTATACATTAATCCATATAAGTATGTGCAAATACCACTCTTCCATAAGGTCCTCATGGTTTTCCAAGATATATGGATTTGAAAAAACAACATAATTAGCATATTTACAACCATCTGCCTTCAAAACCATATTTACACCTGTCTGTCTTCAAACCATATTTTCACCATTACACCATGTCCTTCTTCCTCCATCACACAGCCATAATACCTTTAATCACTACTACACCATCATAACCTAAACATACTCGAATCCATCCATACAAACCTCAACTCCTTCATCACTTCCACTAATCCAATCCATTCATCAACCTTAAACCACATGGAATAAATAATAGTTCAAATCTTCAATCCAAAATTCCATCACCACAAATCACTTCTAAACATACAATAATCATCACCCTCATGTAAACCCTTTATGCTAACATCAATAACAACATACCTGCTTCCTCACCGTTTTTAACAATAACAAAGTCATAATATTGGTCAAAAAACTCAGAACAACAACAACCTGCAAGCTTCAAACAAAACAATTAACAGAGAAAACAAAACCGATCAGAAGCCCGCCAAAAATTGCAGCAACCTCCACCCCTGAATGCAGCACAACATCACCACGTGATCACGCAGCCTTGCATCATCGGACCCTTAACTGACGACCAAGCTCCCTCCGATCACGAGCTCTGCCCCTGTCCATGCCCCTACCGCATTCATAACAACCAGTATAATTAGCATATCACACAAAAAGTGTTTTCCATAGTGTCTCAAAAAATAATTTTAAAATGAATAATCTGTGTAATCTTTTAAGCATCTTTGAATCACATAATTTGAACATTCATAAATTAGCTCATCAGGTTTCAAGATTAAAATAGAATAATCTATGAATGACATTGTTAAGAACCAATTCTCCAAAAGCTCAAACTGCCAAATGATGGCTCGTGAATAATGTCCCTTAATGCATTAACTGTTTAGGCTTAAAGCGTTGACAATTTACAAAGCTTAGCATAATATATTGAAATTCTAACTTTTTAATCTATGTGACATACCGCATCTAAGGCATTTGTATTACGCAGCAAAATAGAGAAGCATTATTTTTGTTACGCAGCTATTGCATATTGATCAAGTAACGAGTGGTGTTTGAATAATTGACAGTTCTTGTAGATCATATGTAATTGAGAATGATTTCTAATACTCCCATTTTCATGTAACCATCAAAAAAAGGTTAGTAATATCCAACATTGAATGACAAAAAAAGTGATGCTTCATATATATCAAAGGAGTAATATATCAACTATTATTTCCGTATTTTCATAAGTTGCTGCCAGTGGAAGCATGGTCGCACAACAACCAGCAATTATGTGCAGCAGATAATAAGTTTGAACTTTGAAGGCCATGCATATAAGCAACAATGACAAACATATATTTACAGGTTATTAAAATATTTAAACCAGATCCCAATAAAAAATTAAACTTGCACTCCCACTGTTATTAGATAACTCCACTCACATTCAAAATTGTTTTCTGCACGGTCGCAAGGCGTTGGAATGCTCTCTCAGATTCCAAAACTCGGACTCTAAGCTTTAGATCACCTTGCTCCAGTGTAAAATTTAAATACATCAATATGTAATCTAAAATATCAGAAACTCCAAACAAAAGATACATATCAAATTACTTAATAAGTTGTGAAATGCTTGAGATTGTTTGTTTCATCTCTTTCAAATATTATTGTATCAATAACAAAATTATACTATCATTCTCAAAGATGCAAAATCTATAAAATTACAACTCATTAGGCTTCTTCTTCCTTCAATGTTCTTTTCCTTTTCCCTTTCTTGCAGATCATGAAGAAAATATGAGAGAATGAGAGTGGACTTTTAACTGTTTCTTTCTTTATAGATTTTGTCTAACTAAATTTTACAATGAGATACAAGTGATTTATATAGAATCACATGATAGAATATTAAGAGTTATAGCAATAACTATGTCTAGGTCTCTAATGGAATAAATTTTCCCCTGCCCAAGGGAATCTGACTTTTGATTTTCCCAAGACTGATTGAATTTAACCAACAAAACTCCCCCATAAATTCAAATATTTTTTCGATTCATCATGCCTAGCATTTTCTTGCCTCTGTCGAAAAACTCCTTCGACAGTGGTTTTGTGAGGATGTCCGCTGCTTGATCTTTTCTTGCAACATGCTTTAGTTCGATGCTTTCATCCTTCTCATGTTCTCGAATGAAATAGAATCGAACATCAATGTGCTTGCTTCGTTCATGGTTGATTGGATTCTTTACCAGTTCGATTGCAAATTTGTTGTCAACTCAAATCATTGTTGCAGCTTACTGCTTCGATTCCATCTTGCTCAGCAGTCTTCTCAGCCATATTGCATGGCATACGCACCAGGATGCTGCTATACATTCTGCTTCACAGGTCGAAAGAGTTACAATGGGTTGCTTCCTTGACAGCCAGGTGAAAGCAGTGTTTCCCATGAAGAATACATAGCCTGAAGTGCTCTTTCGATCATCAATGTCACCACACCAGTCGCTATCAGAGTAGCCAGTTAACTTGTATTCTTCTGCTTTCGAATAGAACATTCCAAGTGACACAGTTCCTTGGACATATTGAAGGATTCTCTTTAAAGCTTTTCAGTGTGCAACAACTGGTTCTTCCATGAAGCGACTCACAATTCCAACACTCAACGAGAGATCTGGCCTTGTGCATGTGAGGTATCAAAGACTTCCCACCAAGCTTCAATTTTTTTTTGCTTCGACACGCTCTCCCCCATCAAATTTCGAAAGCTTTGCTTCTGGCTCCATTGGTGTCGAAATAGGATTGCAGCTATCCATCTTAAATATTTTTAGGATATCTTTCGCATACTTTTCTTGTGAGATGAAGATTCTTGTTTCTTCCTGTTGAACCTCAAGACCAAGAAAAATATTTCATCAGGCCTAGGTCAGTCATCTAAAATACTTTTGTCATTGAGCCTTTGAACTCTTCGACCATCTGATTGTTGTTGTCCAAGAAAATCAAATCATCAACATAGAGAGCAACAAGCAGTATTTTCTCTTTTTTTCTTTTTCACATACAAGGCATGTTGGAAAGGACATTGCTGAAATCCATTTTCTTTGAAGTATTTGTCAATTCGAGTGTTCCATGCTCGTGGTGCCTGCTTCAGTCCATAAAGTGCCTTCTTCAGCTTTAGCACCTTTACTTCATTTTTAATTTTCATGAACCCAGGGGGTTGTTCGATGTAAACTTCTTCTTCGAGCACGCCATTCATAAAGGCTGACTTGACATCCATCTAATGTATTTTCCATTTGTATTGAGCAGCATGAGATATGAGCAGTCGAATAGTCTCCGTTCTCGCAACAGGTGCGAAGACTTCCTCATAATTGATTCCTGTGTTTTGCCTGTATCCTTTCGCCATAAGTCGCGCCTTGAATCTTTCGATTTCACCTTGTGCATTTATCTTTTTCTTAAACACTCATTTTACACCAATTGTTTGACTTACTTTTGGTAACTCAGCAAGTTCTCAAGTATCATTTCGTTCAATGGCCTTAATTTCTTCATTCATAGCATCCTTCCAATTTTTATTTCTTATTGCTTTTTCGAAGCTAACATCTTCAGTGTCTGCCAATAAACATACAAGATGTACTTCTTATGTGTTTTCATACAAGTCTTGTAAGCTTCGTAACCTGGGCTATGAGGGTCCTTCTTCATCATCAGAGTCTTCTGGATCTGTCAAAGTGTCTTTCGATATAGCATCTGGTACTTCGACCACAACCTCATTCGAATTGTTCTAGTCTCATTTGCTTCCTTCGTTTACTCGAACATCTCTACTGACTATCACCTTTTTGTTTATTGGATCGAAGAGTCTGTAACCTTTCGTTTTTTCGTCATACCCAATAAGTATGTATTTGTGACTCTTATCTTCAAGCTTTGTTCTCCTTTAATCAGGCACATGTGCATAAGCCACACTTCCAAACACTTTGAAGTGTGACATAGTTGGCTTTCGACCACTCCAAGCTTCTTGAGGTGTTAAATCTCCCAGCTTCAAATGTGGACATCTGTTTTGAACGTAGATAGCACACTGTACAGCTTCTACCCAAAACTCCTTTGACATGTTTTTTCTCTTCAGCATTGATCGAACCATGTCAAGGATTGTTCGATTCTTCCTTTCTGCTACACCATTTTGTTGGGGTGAGTAAGCTGCATTCAGAAATCTTCTTATGCCTTGCTCTTCACAGTACTTCATAAAGGCTGTCGAAGTATATTCCCCATCTCTGTCTAATCGAAGGGCTTTGATGTGTTTGTCTGTTGCTTTTTTAACCATTGTCTTAAACTTCTTGAATACTTCGAAGGCTTCAGATTTTTCTTTCAGAAAGTACACCCAAGTTTTCCTTGAAAAATCATCAATGAAGGATATGAAGTACCTTTTGCCACTGAAGGATTATGGGGTAATTGGTCTACAAATGTCAGTGTGGATCAATTCCAAAATTTGTTTGGCCTGATATTCTGCCTTCCTTGGAAATGAAGTTTTCGTCTGTTTGCCAAACACACATTCTTCACAGAATTTTCCTTCGAATTCTACATCTGGCGGTCCATGCACCATATTTTTCTTTGCTAACCTCCTTAGTCCAGCCTGGTGTAGATGACCAAATCGAAGATGCCACAGGGATTCTTGGTTTTCGATATTGACATGTAAACACTTTTCTCGAATACTTCTCAAATTCAACTTATACATTCGATTCCTCCCTATTTCGACTTGAGCAACCAGATGTCTGACTTGTCTTTTAAATGCAGACTTCGATCTTCCATGAGAATCGAATAGTCCTTTTCAATGAGTTGTCCCAGACTCAAAATATTTGCTTTGAGGTTTGGTACATAGTACACGTCTTAGATTGATCCTATCAAACCATTCTTCTGCAAGAAGCAAATTGTTCCTTTTCCTTTAACTCTTGCTTTCGACGCATCTCCAAACGAAACATGACCGTCTTTGATTTTCTTTGTCTTTGAACAAATGCTTATGACCACACATATGGTTGCTTGCTCCTGAGTTCAAGTACCATATAGTGTCATTTTCTACTTCTGCTTCCTTTTGAGTCATTAACAGAAATCCTTCATTCAATTCTGTTTCTAGGGCAAGGTTTGTTGTTTCTTCTACCTTTCTTCTGGATCGACAGTGTTTTGCAAGATGTCCCGTTTTACCACAGTTGTAGCAACTGTAGGAGTTGCAATCTTTCGCATAGTGCCCCTGTTTGTTGCATTTGTAACATTCAATGTTGTTGTAATTCGATCTACCACCTCTCTGGCCACGTCCTCTGCCACGCCAGTTTTGTTGGCTTGATTGTCCTCTGTCGAAGTTGTTATTTTGGTAACTTCGACCACCATTACTTCCTCTACGACCATGTCCTCTCCCACTCCAATTTTGAGAGAAAAGTGATTTTTCATCTCTGTTGGGTTCTGCATCCTCAAGTGCCTCCTCCTTCTTCTTTATTTTACGCTGTTCATGTGCCTCAAGCGAACCAGCGACTTCTTCGACAGTGATTGTTGAAAGGGAATTCGCCTCTTCTATTGCACGTACTATGTTTTCAAACTTGTCTGTCAAAGATCTCAGAATCTTTTTGACAATACGAGCATCAGACGTTGCTTCTCCATTTCAATTGAGTTGATTTGCCACCGTCTGCACACGAGTAATGTAGTCCGATATAGACTTTGTCTCCTTCATCTTCATTCTCTCCATTTCTCCTCAAAGAGTTTGCAAGCGAACTTCCTTGACTCTATCAGCTCCTCTAAAAGCCTTTTCAAGTGTGTCCCACGCCTCCTTCGGTGTAGTCGAACCAGCAATCTTTTCGAGGGCTGATTCATAAACTGCTCTGAACAGCATGTACAATGCTGTTTTTTCCATTGCTCGCGTTTCTTTCAACGCCTTGTTCTGAGCAGCTGTGTATGCCGTCGTATTTGATGGTTCTTCAAACCCATTGTTAGTCACTTCCCATACATCTAACGATCCTAACAGCGTCTTCATCTGGATGCTCCAGTTTTCATAGTTCGACTTCGAAAGTCGTGGCAGTGGCATCTGACCTATCATATTTGCCATGCGCTCTGATACCAATTTAAAGAAAATATGAGAGAATGAGAGTGGACTTTTAACTGTTTCCTTCTTTATAGATTTTGTCCAACTAAATTTTACAATGAGATACAAGTGATTTATATAGAGTCACATGATAGAATATTAAGAGTTATAGCAATAACTATGTCTAGGTCCCTAATGGAATAAATTTTCCCCTGCCCAAGGGAATCTGACTTTTGATTTTCCCAAAAGACTAATTGAATTTAACCAATAGATCAACTAACTACACATGTAACCAACAAAATCTATAAACTTGTGCCTTTGTATCATCAGTACACAGTCCGCATTAACTGCAGCACTGTGAATATTTTGCATGATCATTGAGTCTAACTTGTGCCTTTGCTCTTGAAAACACCAGAAGTATCATAAAGTATCATCTGCACTCAACAAAAGCAAACATAAGCTACTGCAAATCATATGAAGTGGAAATTATAATGTGTAAGAAAAATGACTCACTGGAATATCGTTATAAATGGTTTTGGGAATTCCTACAATCGAACATTTTAGACTACATCTTCTGACTTCCTGTATTGATAATCTAATTGAACTATTAATCAAGTTGAACCATTAAAATGAAAATTCCATTAAACCGAAAAACATCAAAACGATTAAACTGTAAAACAAAAGAAACATTGAACAGCATAAACCATTAGAGATTTCAATTTTTAAAATTTTATCGAACACCTGATCGGTATAAACTGAAAGAGGAGGGAACCCTAAAATCTGCACAAATAAAATACCAACTAATATAAACACAAAATAAGAACAGAAGTACATATCTAACATCACAAACCTTGCAACGAAGATGATTAAGTTTGCGAGGAAGAAGCCGAAATCAAAGTAGAAAAAGACCGCAAAGTAGGATTAATAACAATGAAGAAGAAAAAAGACCGCAAACCCATAAATCACATAAGAGTAAAATGATAGTAATATTAAATCATCATCATTTTCATCATTGACTTCAGACCTGGACTTGTCAGATCCCTCTTCCTTAGATGCAGGTTTTCCTTCAGCCTAATATATAAAATTTATTTCAATCAATCACAATAGATAACACAAATCAAAGTAAAATTTGATCAATAATTAAACAAAGCTACCAATGAAATATTGTCGGCACGTATAGCCTTCTCATACTCCTCTTTCATCTTCGTTGTAGTAGCAAACTTAACAACTTTTCTAGTGATCTAAAAAATGTAACAGGCACTATCATTTAGAATCAGAGGCCAGAAAGAACACAATCACATTGTATCTTGTACATTAACTAAAGTTAAATATTCAAATTGTGTCAAAAGCACAAAATTATTTGAAATTTTTTTACAGTATCAACAAACTTGACAGCTTCAATGAATTGTTATTAGTTGAAAATGAATAGTTGGTCAACAAAAATTCGCAAAAAGGAAAAATGTGTTATTGCACTAGGGCACATATTTAACTGGAAAGACCGTGCCAATATAACTTCACAAGATCCATAATAATAATATTTGCCGATTTCAATTATTACTTCACCTGCTTTGTGCAGCCCGTTGTAGGAGAGTGGAAATCTCATCTGCGCCGCACACGTTCACAATAGTCAGGTCTGGAACATATGTGTTTTTTCCATTGGCATCGTGTATAACATTGTACTTTTTTCCAGGATTTTCTGTTGGTGCTAACAAATCCCTTATAGTCTCATTGTATATTTCAAGTACCAAGGCCTGTAATAGATATAGATATTTTACACAATTCGTAAGGTTCCTACTAATGTTAGTTTATGTGAAAATAAAAATAATGAGAGTAAAATAGTATATTTACCTGCATAGTGTACTTTCAACCTTGATCTTTCAGAGTTTGACTAACCAGGAATATATGTTCAAGTGAATGCGATATCAAGCCTCTTAGTTCAGGGAGACCAGGCCTTCCAACCATCATATAGGTTTTTTCAGAACTTGAAATTTTTCAAACAACTTCTTCAACCATCGATACAGAACAATGACACTTTTGTTTACAACAATGAATACTTGTCAATAATATGATATATGCACAAACTTTATACCTTGAAACTGTTCTTAAAGTACACAATCGCTTCTTTTGCATTGGCTACAATAACGGCTACAGAATCTGAAAGAGTTACAAAGAAACTCGTTCCCAAAATCATATTTCTATCACCGTCACCTAAACAAAAGTTTAAATACATAAACATTATCAAGTGAACACAAAAAATGTAGACAAAAATATCATCAATATTTAACTACTATTATTTCTCAAAATATAAAACTTACTATGGTTAGGCGGAGTTAAGAATTTTGTAACATGAGCATTCTATTAGCATGTTACATCATTTGTCTCCTGTGAAGCTTGCTTTATTTTGAAGACACCCCACAAGTAATGCTTTGGATTGAAACCATGTCCAAAGGATAACTTAAACTAAAATGTAATCTTAAGATGTATCAATAATTTGATTGAAAATGTTCAACTGAAGAGCTAGAATAGATGAAACTCACTCCGAAGTACTATTTTCAACTGCAGACCTAGATCTATTGAAACAAATTAGAAGAAACGTCATTGAAAAACCAGACTTAAATCTATATGAAAATGGTAAAATCAAATTGAACATGAGATTTAAACAAACATGCACACATTTTCGTTGATAGCTTTCCTATCTCCCGCACCATCAAGAATGACATTGTCATCTTTGGATACTTCTGCGCTAGCAACATATATCTCTGAAAAATCACCAAGCTTTTGTGTTGTAAAATCACCAATTTTTGAGTGTGATAAAAACAAATATGAGTTAACTCTAAAAAAATATGAAACAAAGAATTAGAGGAATCCATCTATTATTTCAAAAGGTTGGAACAACAAATGGAATTACAGATTGAAAACCCCAAAAAAAAAGAAGGATGAAACCCCCCGATTACCATCGTGATACCGCAAATCATCGTAAAATCGCTGAAACCATCCACCAACTTCCCCATTTTGATTAATTTGTGAAACCCTTTATTGATTTCCTCCATCAACTTCTCTTTCTGATTGATTCGTGAAATCCTTTCTTAATTTCTTGATTCATAAAATCACTGAAACCGTCCACTAACTTCCCCATACTGATTGATTCGTGAAACCATTTCTTGAATGAGAGTGATTTTTCAAAGAATAAGTTGGAAGAAAAAAAAGAGAGAGATGCATCAGAAAGAGGGATGAGGAAGATGAAAAATGAAACAGTTGTAGAGTAATGAGGGAGGAGTTGGAAGAACAAAAAGAAGAAATAACTGTTATTATTTATGATGGAAGAATGGAAAGAAAACGAAGGAGTGAGAGAGAGAGAGAAAAAAAAAGAAGAAGAATAAAAAATGAAACGGTTTATTCATAAAACAGAATGATGGAATGTTAGGCTAGACATGTGGCAGCATATGGGAAAAGAAAATTTTCAATTTTCTTATATGATAGATATTACTAGTATTTTCTAATGTTTTTGTTTGTTGTTTAGAGTCAAATTTTGGTTCGATATCTTGAAGAATTTTTAAGTGATTTTCCAAGTTTGCACGTTTCAACTTACGGATGTATGATAATGATAGTGTTTTGAAGTTGATACATCTAAGGTACTCGTTTATCGCTTTCTAGAACATAGCATGATTAAAATACTTTTCTTTTGTACAAATTTCATGTCATTTATTCGTTTTTCATACTTGTTCATTCTTGAATCACTTTAGGACTAAACCCTTTTTGTGAGGAAGTTTTCCTTTGTTTACTATATGCTGATTACCAACTATTTTTGTCTTAACTCAATTTTATTATGTTAAATCTAGCATTTACGTTGATTTGTATGAAAACATGAAATGATCAAGACCTTTTGAGAAAAACCACCTAACCAAAAGTAATTCACCTTGTGAGTGAGCGATCATTTGTGAACCCCTTTGAGCCTTTCATTCAGAATTCATCTTGGTGTTGAACTATGAACTTTTACATGAGTAAGTAGTTCATCATGAATTCTAATTTTTGTTTCTTGGCACTTGACCTTCAACCATGTATTGTGGTTGGATTTTTCCTTGTCTATCTAGTTTGGGAGCATTTATTTCACTTTATATGGTTGTATTTAAGTTAGGGAGAGCAATGTTGCTTGTTTGTAAGATGGTTGTTTGAGGATGAAAATAAATAAAATGGTGGGAGTAGAAAAAGAAAAGAAAAGAAAAATAAAGAAAAATAAAAAGAAAAAATAGAAAAATATTTGAAAAAGAAAGAAAAAATGTATCAAATAAAAAGTTTTGTGTTGGTGTAACATTTGGGAAAATCGAAGATGTTGATTGAAGTGTACTTGAAACTTTGTGAATTTATCCCTCCCATAGGATTAGGCATTTTGTTTGTTTCAATTACCTTTATATATTGATCCTTCTTTGTTACCCATTCCACATTACAACCCTTTAAAGCCGTTGTGATTTTGCTTTTGTGCTTTTCAATATGATTTGTTTTGATGAATGCATAATTTAGTTGTTGTTAGCAAGATTGTTGAGTGAGAATTAAGCCCTCGTGTTTGTGTTTTTATCTATTGATGAAGTGTGTGCAAGGTGTGATTCATTTATGAACATTATATTGTGTTAGAATTTATGACATGTGTTTTGTATTTATGAGTTGTTTCGTTTTCATGTTGTCGTTGTAGGATAGTGTTAAGTCTTGCTTTACTTGTACGTTTTAATATTGAACCATACATTTGTTTTTTGTTTTAAAAACCTATTGGTTCATGATTATTTGATTATTATTTATTTGTTCTTTAGGTTGTTTGACTTTGATTGAGGACAAACAATATTTCAAGTTAGGGAGAGTTTAATAAGTTCAAATTGTAGCTATTTTTGTATATAATTTTGCGGCAATTATCGACTATTGTTTGTTAATATTCATTGAATAAACCCTGTTTTTTGTGTAAATATGTTTAGTTTGTATATATATGAATTTTCGTGTACATAATATACCGTTTGATAGTTTTGTATCTATTTTGTAGGAATTTATGTGTGTTTAGAACAATGAGTAATAAATGCTAAAAAGGTGCTCCATGATGCTTTTGAAGAAATGAAGGAATAAGGCAAAGAAAGTAAGCCAAAGAAATAATGAAGCAAAAGTTTTTGTTATGGTGAGCCTCTCCGAGCAAATCCTGGGCGAGGAGCTTGCGCTTCTGTCTCGCCGAGCGAGCGTGGAGCAAGAGGTTTGGATCATTTTTCCAGTAGCTTCTGCCTTGGCCTCGCGTCGTGGTCGTGGGGCGGGTTTTGGTTTAGTCACCAGGAGAAGCTTCCCTTTGTCGGGCAAAGGAAAATATTTTTGGCCAGTTGTGTCCCATTATGCAGGCTATAAGAGTGTAATAAGGGGTCACACTGGGCGAAGCATGTGGCTCACCGGGTGAGCGTGTATGTGCATAATTTTTTATATATTTCATTTCATCACGTTTACAGGTTATGGTTTTTGGGGTATTTGTTCCCAAACTTCATCACCTTCATTCTTTGATATTTAGAACTTAGAAAACAACATTTGTAACTTGTGATTGGATGATCCGGGGCCGGAAGCTTGATGGAGCGTGTCTGACACCGCGTGAAATTTAACTTCTTCTCCTTTTCTTCTCTTTGCAACTATTATTTGTTAGGGGTTTTGTTTGTAAGTGTACTTTGTTTTGTCTGTGTATTTATTTCTCATGGTATTGTATAAAATCTCTTTTACAAATCTTTATTGATGTTTATCCTTTTTAGCTTGTTAAGTGTTTGGGTTGAGTTGCTATAGACATATACAGTTTAAATCTGGACTTAGGATGAATTTCTATTAGGTTCTAAACTCTAGAGATAGATTTAGGCTTAATAATCGCTTGGGTATCGACTTTTAATGCCTCTGTGTTGTTTTATGTTGCGCTAAGAGATCGTCGATGCAGAGCAATACAATTGAATTCTTGCCCTGTGTTAGAAATAACCTCTGTGTGAACGGTACATGATGATATTGACGAGTATTTTTGGTTGATTGCAATTTGGTAGTAATTTTAAGTATTTGATGGGTATGTGAAATTCAATCTCGAGAATTCTACCCATTTCAAAGAATGAAATTCTTATGTTTATAACCTTTAATTCCCAAACCTTACAATCAACCCAATTGTAATACGGTGGGAGAACTGACTTGGTTTTGCATTTTATCGCAAAATGTTGCGGATAACAAGAGTCGTCGCCGACTTTTCTTTTATCTAATAAGGAAAGGGTGAAAAGAACAGGAAAGACATTAAGATTTTTGAGTTTGGGGGTGGATTATGAAAAGGGAATGTGTTAGCACCTTTTTCATCTGTAGTTATCTACGGGCTCTTAATCGCTAGCCCACTTTTTGAAAATGCTTTGTGAATGTGTGTTTCTAAGTATTTTGAAAATTCCAATAGTAAGGCAAGACTTTGTAATGATTCTCATTTCTGTTTTTGAGAATGCGTACAAAGTGTCTGTTTGAAAATATTTTTGAAAGTGTGATTGTGAAATATGTTTTTGTTTTAAAATGTTTGTGAGCAAGCGACTACGAGCGTTCTACCTACTCAAGGTCTTTATTATACCTTTCCTCCTCCTTTAGATAGTTCTACCCTACCATTAGTTAGTAGGAAGCCCTATCGTTGGATGTGAAGGGGCAGACGTGGGTCGTCGTTAAGTCATATAAGGCAACTTGTATGGACGCTTTAGCTATTCTCATTTAAGGGACTAGATCGTTTACCAAAGGAAACATTCGAAAGGGTCATCGAGGGACTACGATCTTTGATTTCGAGGGACAGTGCTAAAGCGTCCCCACGTTCGAGGGACATGACTGTTTTTTTTCGTTCTGAAGGCAACAAAGGAGGTTACCCTAGAGGTGCATGTGTGCAAAGTGTGTTCAATTCAATTTATTTATCTTGCATTAGGGTTTTGCTACTGTTTTCTTTTAATCTTGCCATACAATCTTAATTACTAACAGTTAAAATAGGAAAGCGATAAAATGCGGAAAATAAAAATCTATGCTATTACAGGGCTTCGGGAATGGGGTACAAGTAATAAAAATGCGGGAAAAGCAAAACCCTAATTATCCATTACAAACCATGATCAATTGCAATAATTGAAAAAAAAACGCGAGAATAACAAACTATGCGAAAACGTAAAATAAGAGAGCAAAAGGAGGATGGAATTGTTTTTTGGCGATTTTCTTGATAAAAAAAAGTTTGATGATTAACCTAATAACTTAATTAATTTAATTAATTAAAATAATATTGATTAATTAAAACCTAAAAACCTTAAATTGATTTTTTAATTAAGACAAAGGGTTTAGTGAAAAACCTAAAGAAACTAAATTAATTTTAATTAAGAAAAATTAATTTAATTATAAAAAAAATTGATTAATTAGGAAATAATTAAAAAAAAACCTAAAAGTCTAAGTTAATTTTAATTGAAAAAAAAGTTAATATTTTTTGGTATTTTAAATAAAAATAAAAGGTAAAAGAAAAGTATATAAAAAAAGAAAGAGTTGGGCCAGAATTAGCAAATACATGAAACCTCAGAATATGTGCAGCGTCAGAATCAGGATGTCTATATTGTATCTTGAACGTGCAAGTCTAACAATGCTTAAGTGATATGATGAGGGTTAGCAGAAACTTACCTTACAACTGAAAAATGTTCTGTGAGCTGGAGTCTGGTTCTGACTGCTTGCAATGTTCTGATCAGCTTCCTCACGTATTCAGCAGGCTGGAACAATCTTTAACTTGAGCTGAGGAATGGCTGGAAAATTCTGGAACAACCAAGAGTCAAAGTTCTGATTTTTTGAAATGGAAGTTGATGGAGATGGAATTGCAGTTGTAAACAGAAGTTGGGATTATTTCTAATCTGGCCAAGAAATATGCAAGAAAATTAGAGTTTGGGCGTGAAAGGAAACAAAAGCTTAGCAGTTTTTTGTGTTTATGCTTTTAGTTTATATTTCTTTGAAACTTCAGTAAGGTTTCCAGGCTAATTTTCAAATTATCTTCCTCCATATCTGCAAGATGAAGCTCAATTTATAGGCAAGGATTTAGTAGCTTGGAGAAGTCATTAGTACAACCATCATATACTAGGCGCTGACTTGTTCTTGAAGCAAGTTCAAACAAATAAGGTTCAACGCACAAAGTAAGGTGGTTAGCAGCTTTTAGCCGTGTCTAAGCTGGATTTGTAAGCCTGAATTAAGGAAAAGTACTCCCAGAGGCAAAAGCAAAGCATGGGTCCAGCATAAACTTGTACAAAAGTTTACTTTTCAAGGACAACAATGGTACTTCTATCTCACACATGGGGAAATCCTTTGGATAAAAACTCAAAAGTGGTTGTGAGCATTAAATGATGATGAGATTTATCAAACCATAAA